AGAGAGGACGAGAAATGGCAAAGAAATGGACTTCAACTAAAAATGTTAAGAATAAGGAATAAAGATGTGACCAGAAGGGGGCGGATCGAAGATGGGAGGTATTATGTGTGAATGGAAGAACATAAAAACAGACAGATGGACTGAGATAGAGAAATAAAGAAATGGTTGAAAGACCAGAAGAGACAGAGATATGAAAGAGAAATGATGTAGAGATGAGACAACAGAGTATAAGACACATAAAGGGGAGTCAGTTGGATAGACCTCATCGAGAAAATTAGTGTATTTCTTATTTGATTTATTACTATTATAGCATAGATATGTTGTTTGAAATTATTGTCAGTATTCAATAGGAATAAAGTCTGTCTCTGCTTCACCTCAGGTAGGCTCCGGGCTGTCACATCTGTAAACACTCCCCACTTTTAAAAACTGTTGTTAACTGCACAAGCTTCAGAGGCAACAGGTAGAATAAGAAGTGCAGTCAGCTTCCTGCTGCCATTGTGATGACAAATACTACTCTCATTGAGTGGTTCATTTTAGCTGAAAATACCTCACACAGCTCAGCTGGCAGGTTTTCAACAATGTGCACTTTTTGTCAAATGGAAGTAAAACATCATTGAGAACTTTGAGCTACCATTCACAATGTAATTAGCAAATAGGACTGATGTCAACATCTAACTGTGTCATAAAGGTTGCCAGCAGAGCTTAATTTACTTCATGAGTGTATAAATTAAAGGGATATTCCGGTGTGAAATTAATTTAGGGTCAAACACACCTTAACACCGAGTTAAACACCCGCGTCGAGAGACGAATGTCGCAGATCGCTTCCTTCTCCAGTTATACCAACTTTCATAACGACCGCAGATAGCAATACAGAGAGCCAGAGAGCAATAAGTCTTCTGTTTGATCCACACACCGAGACAGAAGGTGGCGGTAATGCACCAGTAAGCTGGAAGCTGGATGCTGACTGCGGTTAAACACGAAGAAGAAGAAGTATTGGTTAGTGAAGGTGAGTGGTGAGATGGTGATTTCATTCATTTTATATAAAAACAACTTTTCAACAATTCTCAAGTCTACAGATTGTGAGGGGGGACTCTATTGAGTTTCACTGCACCTTATATTTCGAATCATCAGAATTCGAACGCCATCATATACATAATCAACACAAGCTTCGATACGCACTTCACCAAAAGCTTCAACACTAAAGGACACATCACTCGTAAATAGAATACCACCATACTGGAGTTTTCGACTGAGCCATCATTTTTGTCCGGAATGAACCTGTGATTTCGGGCATTCTCCTCAGCTGCCCCTACCCTTTGGAACTCCCTACCTCCCTCCATCAGACACTGCCCTGACCCCACTACTTTTAAATCCCTTTTAAAAACCCACTTATTTAAAATTGCTTTTAATATTTAACTGTTTTGTCCATCTTACTGTTTTCATGTCTTTGTCTTATTATCTTGAATTTTACGTACTATGTAAAGCGTCTTTGAATGTTTTTAAAAGCGCTGTACAAATAAAATGAATTATTATTATTATTATTATTTGGGAATTTGGCAGGGATCCATGAATGTCAGTGAGTAACCAAATCAAAACCTCCTGAGTCTAACATAAAGAGGGATGAAACAACGCAGACAGATGTGCTCAGCCCTTCTCCAAAGTTCCTGGGGAGTCAAATACTGCAATCGGATAAATACAACCACAGAGTGAACAACAGCTGGAGCCTCTGATCCAAGACGTTTCCACCAGATGGACCACCGTTGATTTTGATCGCTCAGCTGCAAACAAACAAATGTGCACTTTGAGATGCACTTGCCATGCTGAGGAATGCAGAACTTGGGGGAAAAAAAGACAACAAACTTGAAACACTCCTGGAGCCCTGCAGGTAAGCTACCTAAAAACATTAAACTCCAACATAAATATCATTTTGAACTTTAGAGGCTCGTCTTTCAGTGGCTAAGGTTGGGCTGTGAATGCCTATCTGTTCAATAAGCAATGTAAAAAAATGTGTAAAACTGTAAAGAGTTATAGAAAGTGTTTGCTGACCTGGTATCACACAGATCACACCGGTGAGAATTTAGTTATTCTGGCAAAATGATCGACTTAGAAAGCGTTTAGAATAATAGAATTTAGGATGTGATTTATACGCGAGTAATTGTATTTTCCCTCTCTTTGTGATTAATCAAATTTTGAATAGTGACCAAGGATTTCAACATGTAGGATTTCTACTGTAATAAAGACCCCAGACGGCTGCAGTGAGGAAGTGATGAAAGGTTGGGGCGGGATGTACAAGGTTGGAAAAGAACCTTTTAAAGGGAATACTGGATGGAGTGGTGAGGGTTTCCTCTCCGAGTTAAAAGACATATTTTAAACCAACAGGGACACGATTGGAAACACAGGCTGTGAATGTTTTAATGTTCAGACTGGAGCCACATTTATGGAAGAATAAAACGCAGCAGATAAAACATTACATTCATACACTGCACCCAGCTCTCGGTCCTTCAGAGAGATGGATGGATAAACTCAAGCGAGAGCAGACGGAGGAAAAGATGGAGAGATATACTGTATGGATGACAGAACAGAGCGGGGGGATTCAAGGATGCAGAGATGAAGAGGTGGTCTGCCAGAGAAAGCTGAAAGATGGAGAGAAATAGATGGACTGGGAAATGTATAGATAGACAACTGCAGAGTAAAAGAGATGGACAGATACTCCCTCATGTTCCTCTCCTTCATTTCCTCTCTTCATCCATCTCTCACAAGCTCCTCTCCCGCTGGACTTAGCATCTGTCTGCTCGCCGAGTGAGACAGCAGCTTCAGAAAACCTCCTCTCTGTGATATATGTCCAGACCCATCGCAGAATAAGAGCCACTGAGATGTGGCATCATCTGTATTCACACCCTCCGCCTCCCGTGTGACTCTCCGCCCGGCGACTGACCGTGAAGAGGGGCCACGGTGGGCTGGCAGAGATTTGTCACTCCCGTCAGGAAGTGAAACTTAATGTCGCGGCTAAACTGTTACAGAATAGATGTTGACACAGAAGTGGCAGGTTCAGAAAACTGACATGACCGTGGGGATGTGGCGAGAGGATGTCAGAGGACCAATGTAAGTAAATGTGGCATGGCGTCATAGATCAGAAACCCTTGGACACTAGACGAGGAGTGAAAGAAAGAGAGAGAGAGGTGTTACATCAGTCTGCATTTTTTCTCTCTAACTGTAACACTTTTCAACACCGTCGACGCTTCAACACTTTCTTGAACTTTGTTTGACTTTCACTCGCGAACCAATCATGATGTTGGGATGAAGAAGACAACAGATAATTGATCAGAATCCATCCTGTTATTTACCACAGCAACAATTTCTATGGTCTTGTTGTTCCTGCTTTTACTTTGGTGTTGATATAATCAATGTGTTGTCTGGTACGAGCAGCAGGTGAAACAGTGAGCTGTCCAGCATGTTTTCAAATTTATCAGCACCGAAGAAGTCAAGACCCAACAAGAGCAAGAGACTACAACGTGTCGCCATAGTTACACAGACAAAAAGATAGGTACTGACCATAGGCTGTATATGATATGGACAACTTGGTTCAGCTTCCTGCCAGTATCCGGATTTGAAGCCAAAAAGCTCTCGGTATTTCCATGATTTTTCTTCGGCAGGAGAGTCATCTGGCATCCACCAAACCACAGGAAATGTACTCTGTTCCAATCAGGGCCAGCAAGTCCAGACGTCCTGCATAAAGAAGCTGACAAAAGTGAGTGTCCTTAGCAGAAACTCGCCTGAATAAAGTCCAGGATGTGGCTAAGCCCTGAGTTGAGTGCACTCGCAGGCCCACAGGTGTCCTCAAACCCCGATTTGTATAGGCCAAAGCTATTGCCTCCACCACCCAGCGGGATAGGCGCTGCTTTGATAGGTTTACACTTATAAGAGTTAGCCTAGGAGACAAACAGCTGATCTCTCCTCCTGAAACCCTCTGTCCTATCCATATTAGACCATTATTGCACACACCGGACATGAGCAAGAAAGCAAAAGCCACAAGTTCAATAGGAGAACAACAGCCCACCACCTTAGACAAAAAAAGCCGGGTTGGGCTTCAAAATCATCATTACATCTCCCGGGAAGAGCAGGTACACCAAAAGTGCACAGATGTCACTCATCCGTTTAGCCAAAGCCAAAGCCAATAAGAGCACTGTTTTGACAGACACGTTTTAAGACTCCTCCCCCCAATGGCTCAATGGTGTTTTAGCATAATGGCGATCAAGGATCCGTTTGAGGTTCAGTGCAAAGACACATTAAAAAGAAGTTTGCAGGTTGTTTTTTTTTATTTGTATTTATTCTCTCTCTTTCGCTCTGCTGCTCCTTTTTCCTGCAGTTACATGATCCAGAGTGAGAGGTTTGCAAAAAGTGTCAACACGCAAAACTAAACACAAATTGATGATGAGCGCTTTTAAATACTAAAATATACAATAATGAAGAGCCGGAGGCTGCAGGAGCTTTGTTAGTTCACTCATAACAGGTTTAAAGAGCACAGGTAAACATAAGTGTTAATTAAATGCATCAGTCTTATTAGCCGTGTGTGTGTGCTGGATGTGCACAAAGTATAATACAGTCCTCATCTGCAGGACTGCCAGGCGGTAATTAAGTCCAAGTGACTCTCCAGAAGATTTAATAAGTGTAAGACAAAGATTAGGAGAAACAGTTAAGGCGTTTCAGAGAATCTAAACAAGCAGAAAGAGAGAGAGAAAGAGAGAGAGAGAGAGAGGGATAAAGGTGGAGAGAGGCAGCAGTGTTTTAAGGGACCATGTATGTTTGTGTTGATACTCATTATTGCAGTGAATCTCAATCTTCTCCTGTTGTTTACATGTTGTATTTTACATGTAATTGCTTTTTCTTTCTTTTTTTTTGTGTGTGACAGCAAAGCTGCCCCCCCCCCCCCCCCCCCCCCCACACACACACACACACACACACACACACACACACACACACACACACACACACACACAGTCTGTCTGTCCTTGACTTGTCAGCTAATTAGTTTGGGAGTAATTACCTGCTCCAGCGCTTTGTCGTAGTCTGTAATGGTCTTATCGTTGAAAAGAAAAAAAAAAAACAATGACGTGCAGGTAAAGAGGAAGAAATGGCTCCTACATATTCATTCTCGACCCTCAGTCAGGGTATCGGATCTGTCACGCTATTTAGATCTGGATGTTAGATCTGTAGGAAGTGGAACATCTGAAGCTGTCCTTGGTCTGCACCGTCTTCAGGCATATTTGTGGTTTCAGAAGGAAATGCTGATTGAAAATACAACTGAAAGGAAAAATAATCATTAGCGGTAGTTGGTTTGTTCATTGCACAAACAAATTTTTTACATAATAATGAGCCTCAAGGTCTGCAAGACGACATTTAAGCTCAGTCCTTTTTGACATTTCCATCAGCTTGTAGTTCCCCATAACCCTTCCAGTTATAGGAAACTACAAGCTATGAACTCCAGGAATTAGTCCTTGAGCTCCATCATGCTGTAGGTTCCTCTAGATTGCTGCTTCAGATGGTTTGCTGCTGCTTTAACCCCAGATGTATCAGCCTCACCTCTGTCCATCTCTCTTATTTCCCTCTCTAAACCTCAGCAGATGACTGTCTGACATGAGTCTGGTTCTGCTCAAAGTTTCTGCCTGTTTAAGGGAGTTTTCCTCTCCACTGTAACCTGCTGCAAATTTCCACACTTGTGTGGTTGAAGATGGGATGGGAGTGGGTTTGATCTTGCAGGATGGGGCTCGATGAAAGTTCATGCTTGTATTAAAATTATATTTCCATGAAGCTGAAGAAAAAATTCTGATGTAGCTGAATGTAAAAAAAGCAGATAACTCAGCTTTTCTAAGTGGGTTGCTAACATCTTGTTTCGATTCGTGTCCTTTTGTTCAGGGTTTTCAGAAAATAGAGAAAATAATAAATTTTTGTGTTTGAATAAAGAGCGATAATTATCTGCTTTCAGGAGTATTTCTATCTGTTGATCCGTACATAATCAGCTATTTTGTCAAAGCAGATAAATGTAGCTTAGTCACCAAAAGATGAAGTAAAGTAACAAGAGGGTGGTGCGTTTAAAGACACTCTCGTCTAGACGCCATTGAAGTGGATCAAATCTTTTCTTTTCTTCCCTGATTTTGTACTTTATCTCAGGTCGCTGCTTTTTGGAACAAAAACACATTTCCCTGTCTCCCTCTTTCCTTTTCTTCTTCGTCTCATCCTGACTCACTGCTTTTGTATTTCCCTCACTCAGCGCTGCAGTCAGAATAAAACAGATGACACGCATTGTGTGTCTGACTGCAACTGGAGCAAACACTGCTGGTTTGGGGGAGTGTGTGTGTGTGTGTGTGTGTGAGTGTGAGTGTTCATAAATTGGCACTCAGGGTGTCAGCTCTCTGGCACTGAAATGGACTCTTCATGAATTCAGAGGGTTACTAGAGCTGCTGTTTATTTATTCAGAGCATCAGTCTGAGTACTGTGAGAGGAGGAAATAAACTGTTGGAGCAGAGGAACCAACATGGAGCTTCTGTTAACTGAGTAAAATAGAAGTTAGAGCTAAATGCCTGTACTTCATAGTCTCCTCAGTGACAGTAAACCTACTCAGATAGTCCCAATTAGTTTCGGATAATGAGTCTTCGATCACAGAACTGTCTGGGCGTGTACGCGCTGTTTGATTGACACTCCCATGGTTTTCCTCAATGCTTCATAGCACCGGTGCACATAGGGAAAAACTATTCTGAGAAGTGCAAGGACTAGTCAGTTCCACCCACCTCCAGAGTAGCTAAAACACTTGCAAGGATGTTCTGTTTATTTAGAAAAAGACTTTTCAGTTGATTTAAGGTTCCTGCGTTTGCATTCAAAGATCCAGAGTCGCAGCATAGTTCTGCTGCCTTTTTAAAACAGGGTGGCATAAAACACAATATGTGTGCACTCACATATAAATAAATAACATTTATCTGATTTCTATATCTGCTACTAAATCAAACAATGTCTCTTTCATTTAAGCCTAAAGCTGGATAATGATTTGCGAAAAATGAAAAAAAAGCCCTTGAGTAACATCAAATCTGCATCGAACAAACAAAAACCAGCTTCAGACCAACATGAATTAGTATCAGATCAGTATCAAACCAGCAGAGAAGAACAAAAACAGCATCAAACCAGGAAAGTGTTGTGATATGTTCTGTTAATTTAGTTTTCTTCTCCTGGTTTTATTTGAGTACATTTTGTGTATTTTCCTGTTGTGTTTCTGTTCCCTGTTGTCCCTGTTCCCCTGTAGTCCAGTCTTGTGAGTTTTTAGTTTCCCTCCTGTTCTCTGTTTTACTCTTTATATCAGTTGTTAGTGTTCCCTGTTTTATGTTTGTAGTAGTTTATTCCTTGTGTTTCTAGTCTTGTTTTACTTCCCAGGTTTTCCCTCCTTTGTTAATCACTAACGAGTTTCACCTGTGTCTCGTCTGCCTCACCTGTTGCTCGTTTCCCAGTGTGTATATAGTCCCTGTTTCTCCTCTGTCCTTGTTGGTTCTTTGTTTGTTGGTGTGTGCCTATGCCTGTGTCCCCAGTTGCTCCCTGTGATTTTGCCCCAGTGAATTTTTTCTTTTTCTTTTGCTCTTTTTAAATAATTCATCTTTTTTTGTTGTTGTTGTTCTGCATTTTGGGTCCTTTCCCTTTTTGTGTCACTCCAGACCGTGACAGAAAGACCATCTAAAACTTACAAAGACCAGCATCAAGGCAGGATCAAAAGCAGAATCAAACTAGCATAAAAAAAGCAACATTAGCAAAAAATAGCAAAGATACCAGCTTAAGACCAACAAGTCTAACATTTAACAAAGACCAGCAAAAAACCAGCATCATCAGACCTGCAAAAAAAGAATGAGACCAACATAAAACATCTTTAAATCAACTGCAGACCAACAAAGACCAGCAAAAACCAGCATCAAACCAGCAAAGATCATAACAAAACGAGCTAGGACCAGCATTAAATTCGTATCAGGCATCGGAGACCGGCAAAGACGGCAGTTGAAACAGATTGAATCAGAAAGATGGACATTAGGATTGTTTTAAGATGCCGGGACACGGTTTGATTGTGGGGATGAAATCGGTCCACAGTTGGGCTTTCACCTCGTTCACTATCACACTGCACTTGATTGAACAAACCAAACTGTGTGGACAATGACATACAATTACAATAACTGCTCCTCTGTGGCAGAACCGCCCCAAACAAACGCTGATGAAGACGGCAATAAAGAAGAAGATGATGAATCTATTGGCCAGAACAGAAAACAGGAACACCTCCCCCTTTGACATCTTATTCATCACATAAACAATGGAGCAACACCAAATCTATGCAGTCTCAGGGATTGTGCTCTGGTGTTCATTCATACATGTGTTTGACAAATGGGCACCCAGTATGAGCAGGTGAATGAGCATGTTGTTCCTTTCTTTAAGATGAATTAATCTGTGCCGAAAAGGAGGCGAGCCCTGGTGAGAGAGAGAGAGAGAGAGACTATAACGTTTCGCTGTGATAGAGACACACAACAAGCAAGGAATCAATTCACACAGATGACCTGTGATGGACTCTGGTGTACACCCCTTTTTACCTTTTGGTTTGTTTTGCCTTCACACACCTCAAGTGATTCACACCAAGGTTTGATTGGCCAAGAAAACAAACCAGAGTCTATTTAAAGTGGGCCAAACTGCTCCAATATGAATGTGACTTTAGATTTCATCTCCAACCCAGGCCAGCTGCCAAACCTCCAAGACCTCCCTACACTTTCGAGACCCACCCATGTCTCTTATTCCACAAAAAAAAGGGCATCGAACTTTTTTGTAGTCTCATTTCAAGTCTACAGAGCTATGTGTTGTCAATTTTAGGTGGAATACTCCTTAAAGGTGTCAACACTCGGAGGCATTACAGTCAAAACTCATCCAGACATCCCTGACCGTCTGCTCGGTGAAGGATCATTGCGTCCTAATTTTAGAGCAGACTCCTTCTGTGTTCTCCTAGCTTGCTGCCTTTCTCCTGGTCATCTTTGCCTTTGTGCTCCTCTTCTCCGCCTCTTCATCACAGCAAAGAAAGAGGTCACCATCTGTGGCAGCAGTCAGGCCAAGATCAGACGCCTCATCTTTTAATCAAAGCTACTCTTAGCAGCGCACTTCTCACAGCCTGCTGGCATGAGCAGGAACATACTGCGGGTAAATATTTAAAAAGCTCAGTGTATGTCATTTTGTGAGGGAGTCTCCTCCATTGAACTGAGGATGTAAACAGCTTGTACATGTCTCAGAGAATCAAACAGGTACGATAAAAGCCTCTGTTTCCTGTGAAGGGATACAGAGGAGCTTCTCTTGATGCTTTCGCTGAACTCAACCTCGAATGCAGTAAATCAATTTCATCTTTAAAAGCCCTCTGACAATGGTGTGCCGAGGTAGACGTCTAACTAAATAAATCATGGAGATATAAAAGAAACTTTGCTTCAGTTAGTATGATTCGGTTTTATTCATTTTGGAATTTGGGATATTTAAAAAATGCAGAACCAGAACCCTCCTGAACTGTTCAAGGCTGCACATGACAAATGGCACCATAGCATGTGTAGCCTTGGAGATGCTAATCTTCACATGATGTAGTACCTCTTAACACTCCAGCAACTCCAGCTGAGTCAGCTGTTTTTTATGTTTTATCACAGTTGTGTGTGTTCATGGTTTGGGTTTTGTTGGATGCTTAAGGAGAGTCAAATTTTATGCTATTCGGGTAAAATTTAAACCAAGGCAAACTGGACCTTACTGGAAAATACCCACTGTGTTTAAGTCCACAATGTGCAGTTTCTGTGCAGCTGTGGGGCTTTTTTGAACACCAGGAAGAATGGGCAAGTGCAAAGATTTGCGGCACGCTGTGAATACAGCTAGGTCAGAGCAGAGCTCCAAAACTGCAGCTTTTTTAGGGTGTCTCCGTTCTGCAGAGGCCAGTGGTCAAAAATGCAAACTGCTAAGCCAGTGATAGGGGTCAGTATGCCATCGCTGACTCTTGCCCAACAGTGAAAAGCACCCACAAGCACTCGAATATCTGTAGAATGTGCTGGACGACCAAGTCCAATCCACGAAGGCCCCACCTCAAGAATGTGCTGTTTTGGCACACCTTCGGAAAGCTAGTGGAGGCTGTTTCTCATCAGGTCAGGGCTATTTTGGTCCTGGATTGTTGAATATTAGAAACATGGTCTTGATGTTATTGCTGATCAGTGTGTGTTTCTTTGTAAAATCTAAATGTAGAGAAAGGGGGAAAGTTTTCTACTCATACACTGCAGGACTGATATAAAACATAGACTACAATGGGAGTACAAGAAACAAAATATCAAAGTAACCTGAGGGGAAAAAAGAACAAAATCCAATCAGCAGACTTCATTACCGTGTGGGTATTCTTACACCTCAGACTCTATGTCCATACTGAAGCAGATTCTGGTCTTCTGTTAAAGATGTGACCTGTTCTAGCAGGAGCACAATACTGCCAGAGAGGTTACCAGGTATCATCACAACCAATTACCAGACTGACTCAAGCGATCAGCCTCATCCTATTCACCTGTGTGCACTCTATATCACCTCTGCAGACTTTGAATAAACTACAGAGATGGCAAAGTCTATTTTTTAGACACACTTTGAATCTTGTCTTTTTATTCTGCCCTGCTGCAGTGCACAGGAAAGTACAAAAAGGGATGTGTTTGAAAGGATGCACCAGTCTATTTTTCAACTTCTGATCTGATATAATACTTGGGTTTAAAGGTCCCATGGCATGCCAATTTCACACAACTTAAAATAGTCCCCTGGTGTGTTAAAAGCATGTCTGTGACGTCCTTTGGTCAAAATTCGATTTGGATCAGTTATTTTAGTGCTCTTTTTACACCCATCTCTCTGGAGGGGGCTGCGGCTGTGCTCCGATAGCCATGTGCTAATGTTTACACTGGCTCGGTCATGGCTGCAAGAACATCGCTTGTACAACCCTACCAGTTTGAGCCAGAGTCTGACCCAGAGGGAGAGGCTCCGGAAGAAACTCTCAACCGCATTCAGACCAAACGCGACTTGAAGCGACCTAGTCGACACATCCTATGTATTATTCAAAGCTGCCAGGAGGGTCACGCTAAAGGAGGAAGATATGAATGTAGAAAAAATTACAGCCAAAGCTCTGCTACAATGTAAGATTTTGGTGCTCTAAAACGTCTTTGAAGCCTTTGCTAATTAATAGGATGGCCGACCGTCCAGCATTAGCCGGGACGTCCCGTATTTTGAGCCCATGTTAACTCGTGAGACGCGTGTGTGATAAATTGTGAAGATCGACCATGAAACACTGGACTTTTTTAAAAGGATTATTTATTGAAACTGCATGAAGGACAGAAATACTCCTTATCGTGATTGGGATTCCCCACACAGTCCGAGTGATGCCAATGCTGGCAGTTTGTACATTCAATCTGAAAAGGAGAGCGAAGACAATCAAAGCTGTTTTGTTCCTACAATAAATGTGGTCAGATCATAAGGGGTTCTATTGCCATTGTCGATGAACAGGATTCACAGTCTAGGAATTTGTTTTGGCATGATGGTGCAACAATAAACAGAGTAATTTCAAATACTAGAATAAAAATAGATTATTGACTTACCCAGGTATCATGGGTGTCAGGGTTGGCACAAACTCTGCATATCTCTGAGAGATCATCTGTTGATAACATGAACAGTTATTCACAGGGATTACCAACATCACACCGTGAGATAATAAATAATGAAACTAACCTGTTTCTGAGATCAGTGTTAGTGCAATCTTCATTCTGACTGCATTTGTGCTCCGGCAATCAAACCTTGGGAGCACCTCCTGTCTTAAAATCTTGTCAGCCAACTAGAATGATATTCATAATATATTGTAAAAATGTCCAAATACACCTGTTTCCACAAGTGATCCTCCACAATTTTTCACAAATGTCTTACTTGGCATATTATGGCTCCACAAGATGTGCCGTCCTGCTGGACTTCGTGGTCAATGGTTGATGAGCTCCAACGGGAGCAGTTTACTCCTCTGCTGCGCATGGATGCCCTTTTAGCGGAGAGATTGTATGTTTAATCAACAAATTCAGGATTTTCAGTAATCTTACTGTTCTTTCCTACCTTGACATGTTGGAGCATTTTTTCAGCGCAGCAGAGGAAGCTCCAAATGGGTCCAAGTACAGGCTTGTATTTGTTTGAGGGTAGATCACCTGTGAAAGATTAACACTCACCATGACAGAAGCCATCAAATCTACTTGTAATGTTGCTAGCAAAAAAATGCTCACAGCCAATGTCCAATGATTGTTGTCACATATAGCTCCCACCAAGATGCCATATTCCATTGGTTCAACCTGCAATCATATTACATTATACAGAAACAATTCAAGAAACATTTCCTACAAATGTTGGTCACTAAATATTTATATTCAAATGTTATATGTTACAGCAAAGCCCTAAAAGATCAACATGGGGAATCATTACTTACTTTCTTAAGTGCTCTATATTTTCCCCGCCACATTTCACTCATTGCGTAGGAATCTATGTACTTGGATCTTGGAATGTCGCGTAGGCGCAAAGTAAGGTATGCGTTGATTATCTGTAATGAATGACCAACCAACCAGTAAGTGTCAAGGACAATCCCCCTCTTCCAAATAGAAAAGTGCTTTCTTACCTCACTTTCCACCTGCCTCCCTGGAGCAAGATGGTCCCTCAGGTTCTGGGTAAATATTTTGTAGGGACTGATCTTGCTCCATAAAATATCAGGGGCCTCATTGTACCAAATCTTTCTGATGACTGATGGAAAAGATTTGAAGAGTTAATTGTTTGCCAATATCAATCTACTGCTCTGCACATGACAATATCTCTGTATACCTTCCTCCTCAGCTTCTGCTGGTATTGCTCCTGATGGAGATGGAGCTGCTGCTGGTGGAAGTGGTGGTGGCGATGGTGCTGGTGACGGGGATGGAGCTGCTGGTGGCGTGGATGGAGCTGCTGGTGGCGGGGATGGAGATGTTAGTGGCAGGGAGGGAGCTGTAGGTGGCAGGGATGGAGATGATGGTGGCAGGGATGGAGTGGTAGGTGGCAGGGAGGGAGCTGCTGGCGGGGATGGAGATGATAGTGGGGGGGATGGAGCTGTAGGTGGCAGGGAGGGAGCTGCTGGTGGAGATGGCGATGATGGTGGTGGTGAGGCTGTTTCCGGGGTTTGCTCCCCTTCTCTCCAATGCCGCGGGACCCGCAGGTCAGCACTTTTATTTTCAAGCTTTATGATTTTTAAAGGCCCCAACATCCCTCGGCCCATCTTGCCACCCTTTCTGTTTTCCTCTCGTACGTTTTTTCTCAGGACGAGATCCCCTACTTGAAAATTGTCATCGTGGCCCTCATTTTCCCGCTTCCTTTTCAGGACCTGTCTGACATTCTGGGTGTTTTCCATAGCCTTTTCATGGCATATTTCCAAGGCCTGCAGCCCATCCGAAATTTTCTGTCTTTATTATTTTTTCAACTACATCATGTGTAACCTGTAGCAGTAAGGCATCGTGTCACTTCTTAAATGGCTATGTCATATCAAATAAATGTTACAAACAATTCATTGTCCATACCTCACACTCCTCTGGGATTTCGGTCGGATATCTAGCCTCCCTGCCAAACAAAAGAAAGTACGGAGAAAATTGGGTGGTCAACTGTTTCTTCGTTCGTAGTGCAAACAGGGTGGATGGCAGGTGTTCATCCCATGTGTTGGGTTGGTCACCGACAAGTTTGTTCAGTGTCCTGTAAGGAAATACCACACACAGATACACACAGACACACACACTTACAATGTGACTCAAAAAGGTCATAATATTAATGATAGTCAAAGACCTTCATCAAACCTTTGAATGGTGCCATTCATCTTCTCCACTAAGCCATTTGTTTGGGGATGATAGGGGACACAAAGGCTCCTTTTTATCCCCAGCGACTTGCAGACACTGTAGTTGACCTGCCAGAAAACAAGAAAACATGAAATGCACTCACTCACTCACTCACTCACTCGCTCACTCACTCGCTCGCTCACTCACTCACTCACTCGCTCGCTCACTCACTCACTCACTCACTCACTCTTACCTGGTTTACAAACTCTTTACCCTGGTCTGTTAACAACCGTTTGGGTGCTCCAAAATTTATAGAAAAAATCCAACACGCAATTTGTAACTTCAGCTGCTGATTTCCACTGCAGGGGATAAGCCTCCGTCCATTTGGTAAAATAATCAATCATCACACAAATGTACTGATTGCCGTTTTTGGTCTTAGTCAGTTTTCCAACAAGGTCCATCCCCACCAGCTCCAGTGGCTCGGTCGCCTAAATGAAAATACACATGATATTAAGAAATCCTAATTCTGTTGGAAAGTAGGTTTGTATTTTCATCTACCTCAATTGGGATGTAGGCTGTTTTCACTTTTAGTGTACTCCTCCTGGCCTGGCATTCCGGACACTCCTTTATCTGAATCAACGCAGACCCCACAGGAAGGTGAATCCAATTGATGCCAGACATCACAAAGAGTAGACTGATCACAATTACATTTCAACTCACCCATTGCTGGATGTCTTTTTCCATGCCAGGCCAGTAGTACCTTCTAGAAATTGGTTCCAAGGTTTTTTCCATCCCACAATGTCCTCCATGCTGGCTTGCATGGAAGGCTTTAAAAATGTCATGTGCTTCCTGAGGTGAGGTGACCACCTTCGCCACATGTTCCCCCAGCCGCCGTCGACAGCAAATGTAATGCAATTCGCCATCTAATGGGCCGATATTAAACTGTCAATTTATATTTTTTTCAAGGAAGTACAATCTGCTATTCAGGCTTTTCTTACCTCGTATGGAAATTCTCACATCTACGGCGGATGATGAATCTGCCTCTGGAGGAACACCCTTCCGGGAAGACATTATTAATCAAACAATTGGTTATCTCCCGGATACGGTCCCTGTCCATCCCTGAACTTACCTGAACAGATCTACCCTTACCTACAATCTTCTAACCTGACTACTTATCACGCTACTTAGCCCTAACAACAGCCCTACCTGTTTTTCTTACCTGTTACTTTTAACTTAACTTAATCTTACCTACCAGTCTTACTGTAACTTACCTTTTACACAAACACAACTTACTTCTCACACAAACACACAATGTCCTTACCTCAGCTTAGCTTTCTTCTAGTTTACCTGACCACTACTTTACACAAAACACAACAGCACAAATATCAAAAACACAGATGTAAAACACAACAGGTAACAGGCATACAATTAGACACAAATCAACACGACAGTCAGACTGGACACAAAAAATATACAACAATGACAAGAAGAACGCACCACAAGGCTAAACTAACTAACTAAATTTCACAAAAAGCAATACAGAATGCACAAAACCAGACGACAAATAAATTCACCACAAGGTCAACAGACAACACAATGTCACACAAAACAATACAGAAAACACAAGCTAGACAACAAACAACTGCAATATACTACCTCACTCACCTATGTCGCTCTGTATCTCTGTCTCTCTCTCTCTGTCTCGCACTGTCGATCCCCTAACCTGGAACAAGTCAAAATTGTTTGGAAACCCCTATTTCTATCTTTTTTGGCCTAACCAGGTGTTCCTTGATTGTGGCTGAAGTAATGGATGCTCTGATTGGCTGACTGCACATATGATTTAAATGATTTTTTTCTTTTCTTAATGATTTAAAAATAAATAAAAACCCAATATATGTTGCTGAATACACAGGTGTTGTGGTCCTAATTAGTTAGGAGCTACAGAAGGGTAGACCACCCTTTACATCAGGTTGCAACATCATGTGGGGCCATCAAAGTCAGATGCCTTTTGCACGTTTAGAAGGATCACATCTGGCACGACAGTGAAATATATGGAACAAGTGCACGTCTCTATTGAAGCACATGGCAGACTTGCGTTTTTGAGATGCAAATCCATTGATGCTGCATGATAATTTTAAAAAACGCTGACAGTGTGTTAAGGTGGATTATCACAATTTACCACACAAACGTCTCACAAGTTAACATGTGCTTTTTCCAATGAAACGTGATACACTGCGACACGCCAATCAATGTGACCGCGATCGTAGACTTTGCAAAAAAGATCCATGAATAAAATGATCACCGATGCTTACAATTGAACAGATGCTACTGCTGTCACCAGCTAACATGGCCGTGTTTCTCTATAGGAGCAGGTTATGTAGTCCTCCTTGCGACGTCCAGCTGTGTTTATCGTAATATTTTTATCTTCATCTTTTTAGTGCTTATTTGAGTGGGCAGTTTGGTCGGGATCTCTGGTTGTCAATATATGTGAAAAGCACTGATGTTTACGGAGTTTTTCTCCTTGGAAGTGCCGGCGACCGTTCGGTTCGGACTGAGGCTTTTGTGGCGAATCTGCGGAACAGCCAACACCTGGTTCAGATTTACCTAAAATCTCACCACTTAATATGATCACCAGTTTCAACCGGATCACCGGCGCGGATCCGGTGTGTTTATCAAAGCGTGCCGAGGCACCGGGGGCAATTTAGGCTAAACAGTAAGTCAAAATAAAAACGTCCATACTTACAGATGCCACGTTTGTAGTAGGATCACGGGTAGTTGGTACGGATCCATTCTTTATCTTCAGACAAATAGCAAATCCAGCGTTGAACTGTCCCTCGTTGATAAAACAGTCCGAAGTGAAATGGTGAGCACACACGTACAGATATTTTAGAAGTGCCGCGGGTACATTCCCATTATAAATAAAATCCACCCATTGAGTCCTTAAATCCTCCGACGAGGGAGTATTCAAAAGAGTTTTGTGCTCGTTTGTGCAGCCAACAACAGAGCAAACGCTGCCTCTCTTTCAGGTCGTACTTTCGCCATGGTTCTATCCGGAGCTATGCGGGCGAGCGGCCGGGAATAATGGCGCTGTTTAGATAATCTTCTGGGCAGGGCAGTGGGCGGCTCCATGGGCAGTACTTTTTTCTTTTTTTTCTTTATTCTCCATGGGCAGTACCATCAACCCGCCAGCACGGACATGACGTCATGTCAGTGGAGTTTTCAGAACGGCTCTGAGCACACAGTTCTTAAATACGGAGATGACTACAAAACGACTGGATGGATTTTTTTCGAATTTGGGGGGATTGTAGCGGTTTTCTATCCCTGATATGCACCCCTCCCGTTAACAAAGTCGGTTTTTCATGCCATGGCCCCTTTAAATATCTGACTATACTTATCAATCTGATCAATACAAATGTTCATGTACTTGAACCATACACCCCACTTATCTCTGAAACTTTCGAAGAAAGAATTGAATTGACTAAACGAGGTGTGTCATCTGTAAACTTGGTGAGAGTACATTTGTTAAAGCGGTAATTCAAGAAGATCAGAAATAATAAAGGTCCCAGAATGCACCCCTGTGGGACACCACAGGATGGTCTGGCTCTGTATGAGTAACAATCCCTGCACAAACAAACAAACAAACTAACTTCTTAGACAGGATAATCGTCTGATAGTTTATATGTAATTTTATGAAACCATATTAAAGTACTTTTTCGGATAAAATTGTTGTTGTTGTTGTTGTTGTTGTTGTTGTTGTTGTTCTTCTTCTTCTTCTTCTTCTTCTTCTTCTTCTTCTTCTTCTTCTTCTTCTTCTTATTATTATTATTATTATTATTGTTATTATTGTTATTATTATTATTATTATTATTATAACCAAATCAAATAATGCTAGCGTGATTACATGATTTTATCAGTCCAGGGGAAATGGAGACAGATACATTTAATTACATTTTCTGAAACCATATGTTTTTTTTGTTTGTTTGTTTGTTTTTGTTTTTTATATACAGAACTGATGTCAACTCTTTTGTCTGCAAGTTTTTTTTAAGTTTCTTGATATACAGGTCATAATGGGTATTATTTTATTGAGAATCTGGGTCATCTGCTTCAAAAACTGTAATATCTTATTGTTCAACTTCTTTTATAGACACGGTAAAATGTGAACAAGTGGAAGCAGTATTGACTCTTTTTTTTTTTTTTTTTTTTTTTTTAACCTTGTTAGCTTCCCCCACATGCTAGGTTGGCTCTGCCCTGCAGAGTGCAGAGGTCTAACAACACCCATGTTGTTGCCTGAGAAAAGAGATAGCAAGAGAATTAATTGCAAAGATAGGCCCTGTCACAGATACCAAATCTAGTCCATTAACAGACCGATATCCACTATCAGGGTTTGATCAGTGCATCTCTGGTGTTATGACCTGGTTCCAGAGGCTGCAACAAAGGAAGGTTCACCCGGAAAACATAAAACTTCAGAAACAGAGCAAACTAGTCATCGACTGTGCTAACAAGATGACACCACAGGACTTACCACATGGGAACATATACCTTCACCTTTAATCATGCTGCAGAGGTGGTTGTAGTAAATGAGAGGGCTAGAAGATATGAGGGGAGGTTTGATGGTCAAGAACATTAACCAAGAAGTTCATGGGGAGCAGCTCATTCAAAGGAAACAGAGGAAGTCAGCAGCTTAATAAGTACATCTAAAAATATCGGCAACAAAGGGTCTGAAAATTCATGAACATCTGAGCAGAGAAACAGTAAAGGCAGACTAGGGCTGTTACAGTACTTCTCATCACACAAGTTAAAAGAAGTTACTTTGTGACAAGCTCATACATTATGTTTGGATTCACAATAAAATCTTGGAACACCAGTTTTCAGTCAAACCACTGTTACATTTCACACCACTTTTGACAATAGGATCAAAGTTATATCTAGAAACACCCATTCGTTTCTCAGTTCCTGCAAGCGAGGTAAAACCACGCACTCCGTCAGCTCTTTGGCTTTGTGCATAAATGCAAATTCATCTTAAAGGCATTAAAGCTGGTTTTCTGTTTTGAAGAAGGGTTTTTAGTTTCTCTATATCTCAGAGGACACAGCTGCAGTTTGAAATGAAAGCTGGAGACAAACAGTTTGAATGCACAGCAGAGTGGACCTTCGCCATGAGCAGATATTGCAGTGATTAACCTTTATGCATATTCTAAGAAGAAACCTAATTACAATGTAGAAAGCAATTATTAAAATGGTAAGGAAGAGATGCCATTTAAAGAATATAAAGCATTCATATCCATGTCTGAATTCATTTATAATTCCTTTCTTAGAGTGATTGTTGTCTGGTTGTCAAACAGTATTTCTACATTTTTTAAAACTCACTGTGATTATTTCTGTCCTGTAAGGTGAACGCTGCTTTAATCTCTTTGACATGCTAAATTTCCCATAAAGCTGAGTTGACCTTTTTAAGAGTTCCTGATTGCGTGACATTTGCTGTGACCAAGTAAAGTTGTGGTACTGCCGTCTCACAGGGCGCCAAGTAAAAGAAAATCAATGACATACAAAAACGAGCAGCCGGCATCAACCTTGTGGTCTTGCAGGGTGTTAACAGCCGAGCCAAGTTTGACATTCTGAGCGCAGATCACATATAAAGACAGAGTTGTATTGGTAAATGAATGGCACAGAAACCACCATCACCAGCTGGTTTATATGATCCACAGAGATGGATAGAAATACCACTTCAGTTAAGTTAAAGTTAAAGCTCAGGCTGATTGGTATTCACAGACGCTGGTGTAAATCATTATGAGGCTGTGAGATGCTGCTGGACAGTAAAGACATGACTGGCTGCTGGAGTTGCTGCTGTTTGCCATTTCTTCTGGGACTCTACCTGTCTGCCTGAATGTTTTTAACCAACTAAAAAAAGTCATGGCCCCTCCTTTTTCTCTGCTTCATTAGGCCACATTCCTAGTGTTTCTGGAGGATGTCACAGGTGCTGTCAAAAAGCAGAACAACCAGATGGTCAGCAGTAGATGCACAGGTCATCAAATCCCTCTGATAATGATAGACTGGTCCAACCATCTCTTAAATCA